TTGAGCATGTCTCATGGCCTCTTAAAAACCGATTATCTCTTCTATACTTTATATCCCCTTTCATCCTAATAAGTTCTGATAACCTTACTTTGTCAGCTTCGGAAGTACATGGACATTGATAGCGCAGCTAATTCATACCAGTTGCGAAATCTAATACCCCCCCCCCCCTCCCCTCCCAACTCTCACTGGCACGCACCTGATCCGCATGGACCATGGCCAAAGGATAGCCGAAATGCCAGCGGAACACTAATCCCGCCGGGCCACCTTTCCCACACTTGCCTGAGATTTACCCGACAGGTGTACATCCCCGAAAGGCTAACAACCCTCTTGGACTCCTTATTTGCTTCCCTACTACCCGCTTTTCCTCGGGCATTTGTAAGTTGACATTCACAGGAAGGGCGATTGTAAAAACAATTATTTAGAACGACTCTTTATCCGTCTTAGAGGTGTAGAAATGGCTACGTTTTGCAATGGCACTTGCCGGAATTGGAAAACACATTTGCGCTCCCATTGACGCACATCGCACATGGTCTCGATAATCCGGAAGACAAATCTCGGAATGCATTTATTTGATTTGACGATATTTTCAAGTATATAGACTACCATAGAGTTATGTATGTCTATATACGGTGGTCAGGTCGGATTAGCAATTTCCAGAATTGAATATGGCGTCGATGCACGTGTGCCGATGCTCGCCCTCACCTACCGTTTCCTCTTCCCCCCCCCCTCCCTCTCCCTCCATATGTGAAATTGCATTGAGGAACCATGGTTACGGTAGCCAGTCGGCTGCCGAAATTGGCTGGTCTAGTTTTCGGGTCCATGTATGATGGGGTGAAATAATGATGCCTCGTATATGCACATCTAAGCGGATTGTCCTCGTCGTTTAAGGGAGGCCAGACACACCACCACCGCTGCCACACACGGTAGTTCCGGTTTTGGTCGTGACTGAGTGGAGTCCGAATGGCAACAAAAGTGATTCACATTTGTTATAGAAAAGAGCAGCAGTTCCAGAAACTGAACGGGTTTTGGCAGAGCTGACGACGTGACGTAGTCACCGGATTAATTTTTTTTTTTGCTTAGCGGATTTTCATTTGCAAACCTGAATTTATGTAAGCGATGTAGAAAAAAGGTTACGAAAATTGCTTGGATTGAATTCATGCGCTGGTTAAGATGCAAGCAAGAGAATGTAGTCACTCAGTCAAAAGATAAGAAGTGAGGGGGAATGAATGATGGAATCGATAGATGATTGTATCAATTATTATTGATTACGACTCATCAACTGAATAAAATAAAAAAGAGATTGATCGATTGATTGAGCTGATAATGATTTCCTGAAAAGAGCGGGCTGAATAAATAATTTTTTAAAAAGTAAAAAATTCAATCATGGAATGAAGAAAGAATGCATGAATGATAGAGTCAAATGAGTGAATGAAGTAAATGTGAGTAAATCAGTAAATGAGTGAGTGAGTGAGTGAGTGAGTGAATAAATTGTAGAAATGAATGAATCAATCAATCAATAAACGAATGATTGAGTGAAGAGAAGAAAAATAAAAAATCTAATAGATATATGAATAAACGGAAAGCTGCAAAAGCTCTGACATTTCTGTAAATGATAAAAAAAAATAGTTATTTGCATCATGCACAGTTTGTCTTGAACGATTTGCAGTAAAAAAAAGAGAAAATTTGTTTTATGATGGAGGCTTAAACATTCCGTGAGTAAAAAAGTTACTCTATATTATGAACGGATAAATCTTTTCATTGATTTTTTTGTTGTTTTTTTAATGAGAAGCCATTATTCATTACGTATTAGTCTTTCACTATTCCTTGCATGCTAAATTTCCTCGCCAACTTCCACATCTGGAATTTTCCTGTTTTTAACATTTTTTCCGATTTTAATCCTCACGTAATCCATGTCATAAGCTACATCATCACTTGCTGAACTCCCCCCATAAACACCCATTTCTAACGTTTTTTTTAATTTTTATTTTTCGATTTTTTCTAAGCCACTGCAGCAATCCCAATCATCTACTCTTCTTCTTTCGTTCGACTAGTATTCACCTTGATGGAGTGCGCATGCCGAGGTCCGTAGGGGATTAGGGGTCAGTTAATCCGAACAGCTGCTGTACAGTATCGGGTCCGACGGGGGCGCCCGAATTGGAAACTCATCAGAGTGCAACATGAGCTCGCCACACCGCGAAAGCATGACGCACACCTAATTGTGAACCAGTTCGTCCGCTGATGTATTGTATGAAAATTTTTTTTTGATAGATATGAAATTTGGCGGGAGATCATAAGTATGGTATCAGGAAGCTACAAGAGTATATTTATATCTACCCAGCATGAGCGCGGAGGTTGGTAGGGGAAGGAAGGTAAAGTTGAGTGGGATACTTTTATTGTAAAATAAGTCGGTTACCTATAATCATTTCTACTGCTTTTTGTATCGACTAGGATCCTAAGTCAAGAGCAATTCGTTTTTGCTTGGAAAATATCTATTATATTCAGTATTGTACATGTTTTATTTCAATCAAAGAAAGTAATTTTGTGACGTAGAACTACTTTTGCTGCATTGAAGTCTGCAACTATTGGAAAGATTCATATTATCGTCAGTTACGTAAGGACTCAAAAACTCCAATTTGACAGCTATCAGATCAAAAGCAGAAAGAACATAAGTGATATAACACTAGCAGATGAAAGAAGTAAGAATTAATATGGTACCACGTGTTTCTGGCGCCATCCTATCAAAACAATGAATCAGGAGGTGCGGGATTAAATCGGGTGATAAGAAGTTGGATTGCTAGCACTTAATTTGCCCCTATTTCCGCTTTGTCATTATTTCATTGGTATGCTTATTTGCCTCCTTACTATCTTCATAAACGATCTTTTTCTATTTGGACTATTTTGTCTTTTTTTCCACTTCTGGAAGCTCGTAAATCACGAAGGGGTCGTAAAATCCGTCCATTTGCACACCATTAGTGCAATGTTTGTCGGCGCTGGTGTTGGTTTGTGTTGTGTGTGGCAGTGTTATCAGCTCGAAGCCACCATTATTGTTATCAAATTAATCACACCTATACCAGTCAAGGGTGGGGCAAAAGACTGGTTAAGTAGGAAGGCAAACACAAGGGCCTAGCGACGCTGTCGTCGCTCTAGCAGCGTTTACACACACAAATAGGGCCAAAGCAAAAGGGAATGAACATACTACATCGGAAAGATGTCAAACATAGCACATCTGTGCTCTGCTACAGATTCAGTCTTCCAATTATCGATCAGTTACTGGGCTAGCTGCGATTACGCGCGCACATCAAACAATCAATGATTGACGTAGACGCTTGGTGTCAGGCAAAAGCTGTGCTGAGCACTTATCAGCAGAATTTTTTCTGTTCTCTTTGGATGGACTAACATGTCACTCCTCTTCTCGCTTAACGGTGTGATAATCATGAACTCATTTGAGAGATTTGCTCATTACGACCGGCTGCATGCGATTTTACTGGCAACTTGCTGTCATGCATTTTGCCGTCACCGCGCCGCCCTGCTATGATGCGTCAGTGCTGATTTCGTCTAATCGCGCTAAAGCTTTGCTAAGCCTATGAACTTATTTATTCATTGTTCTTCTCTCTTTTTAACTCTGCAATTCCTTGGGTGAAGGGGTTTTTTGGTGCGACAGCAAGATAGGAAGTCATTTTTTTTTCGTTGCACTCCGCGTCAGCAGTAACGCCTTCAAATGCTATAAGGGTGTCCCAAAAAATTTGCACACTGTTTGATCATGGTCATTGATGACTCTCTTGCTTTGATGTTTTTGCCGTTTTATGTACCATTATGAAGAGTGGTGTTAAGCTTAGATTTGCAATATGCAACGAATCACCAATCGCTCTTTATTACTGTAGGATTACGGTATGAACTTTCAGCATATAGCGCCAGTGTGGAATAGGCCTTTTGATGAAAAAAAATCTAAAAAGTATGGAAATTTGAGTAGTGAGGACTTCAGACTCTCGATTTTGCTACACAACTTCTTACCACTTTTTCGAGCAATTTAGTGATTGTGACGAACATAAGAATACTTACCTTAATCTGATATAGCTTACGAAAGAAGCATTACAGTAAAATGCAGACTTCATATTCGAAGTCAGCGACTTCGATCAGCCCAGTGCAAGATTTTCTGGCTTGTTTAGTTTTTTTTTGAAGTAAAATATTGCTTTCAATGGCTTCTTGGAGTTCTTACCGTAATCCTACAGTAACGAAAACACCGGAGATTTGTTTCATGCGGTAAATTTGAGTTGAACCTTGCTTTACGGAATGGTACCTGAAGCTCAGCGAAAGACGTTTACGCAAAAAGTTTTTGACGATCAAACAGTGTGCACATTTTTTGGGACGCCCTGTATAAGCTAATTGGTACCAATGTATTTGCTGACTGTAATGTCAAGATCGTCGACTGGGCACTTGCTTTGGTTGAGAAGTGATCAAGAAAATCAGATCAAGTTCTTTTGAGAGTGCTGGCTTTAACACGTCGCAAATTTTTTCACTCTCTTGTGTGACTGGCAGAAACCTTTTATACGTATATGTATGATTCGCATTTCATTTACAGAAAAAATCTGAGGGTACTTGTGAAAAACTAAGGAACTCCTTTCGAACTTCCTTATTGGCTTTGGCTCTTTCCCTATCTTGTTCTTCAACCTGGGAGATTATCATGGATTTGATAATTATCCCCAAATCTTGAATCTACGTTGCAAGAAGATCATACGGGCACAAACTAATACCGTCAACGCTTCCTTCTCAAAATCTATTCCAAGCACCGGGAAGTACGTCACATCCTAGTTACTACATCCACATCCATGCACAGTGTCTCTTCGATCCGAGCAATGTCCATTAGTATATTAGTTTCGACACACACAGTCGGCAAATCTGCTCAGGTAGCTAAGGAGCTGATAAGCCAGCCCATCCATTCATTTTCACAATTCATTTCTACGACTGACTGCGTCGTGCTACAAGCTGAGCCCTTACCTATCTGACTGTTGAACTTTTTCTCTATCAGTTGTAAGCTAAAGCTGGTGAGATGTCTTCAAGCGGTTCTGGTGGTGGTCATAGTAGCCACACGGGCAATCTAAATCATAATCTTAATCTGGTAAGTTTCCATAATACTCAAGTTATCCTGTTTGATTTTGAACTCTTTCAAAAACTCAATCTTTGGCTTAATGCACTCCCATAACCACCATCAATACCATCCCATCCACACCATCCATACCATCAACACCACCCTCACCACCATCTACACCCAGTCTTACAATCTTATTACCATTAACACCATCAACACTATCAACACCATCCACACCATCCACACCATCCACACCATCTACACCATCCACACCATCTACACCATCCACACCATCCACACCATCCACACCATCATCACCATCATTACCAAAATTACCAATTCTTTCTACTCTTGAACATCACCACGGTCAGATTGTTTGCTTTTCTAAGCGCGCCTAAACGCAGGTTTATCAGGATTATTTACGGATTTGTAAACGCGCAACATATGTTCACACGCAAAACCTCTGAGTCATTGCCAAAAAATCTACAATTACCAGAAGCGCAACTAGCGGGAGTTTTTGGCGTCAATGCAGATTCGAGTTAGTGATGTGGGATGGGAGAGTTTCTTTTCCTGGTAGGTGGGTATCTGTTTGCATTTCAAGGTTGCTGAGGGAATGTGGAATCTCTGGAAGAGAGTGTCTGGTTGGCTTGGCTGCTGGCGCGTGTGTGTGTGCAGTTCTTGTCCCTTTTCGTTAGCTCATATAGAAGCGTTAGCAATCTCCACATCATCCTTCGCTTTGGAAGAAAATAACTTATTCCCAAGGTGTTTAGATTTTGATTTTTAGGTTTGACAGATTGTAAAAGCTCAGGTTAAACTTATGTGAAAAGTAATTCAGTAAAAATCCACTTAAAAAGCGCCATTTTGTCTGATTTATTAGTCTAAAAGCAGAGCTAATCTACTGTCCTAGAGACCTTGACGTCGTTTCTAATACTGAACACGTGTTCAGCTTTTTCTCACCTCACCAATCACGTAGTTTTCCTTCCTCATCGTCTCCTGCTATTGTTCACGTACACACGCAAGTAGCGCACGTATCGCACAGTATTGTCAGACTGTCTATTTCTGCCTGTGCTATCAGTGAAGCGTGTCTCCGCGTCGTCGGGGAGTCCATCGTCGCGGCGGCGCAGGTACCTACCGTATCCGCGCGGTGGAACACCAAACAACCGGCTTCGCCTCGCAAACAATGAACGACAGCGGCTGCCGCAGCTGGCGCTCTGATTGGTCGGGCGTCAAGGGGCGTGCCGCTAGAGACGAAGGATACCCGCGCGGCGTGCCGGGGACCAGGAGAGTCCCGTGCACCGAGGGGCGTGTCGACGGGGCCGCGCGACGGATTGCGCCGGCAAAATCGCATTGACGCTGGCTCAGCCGCCGGCTCGTCGCCTCTCCAGCTCGTGGTTTATCGTAATCTGAGGATGATGTGATAGGCTTATCGGGTCGAGACCCCACAGCGCCACCGTCGTCGCCAACAAGCAGCAGCAGTAGCGGCACACGACGCATCCGCGAGAGGGGCACGTTCGCGATCTGACAATCTTTGATGACGTTGACGATGCGATTCGCTCCGAATCTCATCGTCGACGACGAAGTTATGATCGTCTTCGTATTGGAAAACCCACTTCCGCAGCCTCTCTCGTGCATGCAAGCTAAGCTGAGCTGACGACATCGTGATGGTCTCGACCAGGTAAGCCGAAGCTAAGCTGACCTATTGCTTCTGACACTTGATCTTCTTAACTGCCAAGTGCCCCTTAAACTTGCTCATCCATAAATCGAGGATTTCTTATTTTGCAATCTTATACTGTTTTCTCTATAGGCCAAGCTCGATACATCGTCGTTGCATCAAATGATCCCAACGTCGACTATGAACAATGGAAACTTTGTAAGTTTCTGAATAAAATTTTGATATTTGCGAGCATGATTAAGATCTTCTCGAGTTTGCTGCTCCTGTAGACATTCTTTTCATTCTCGCCCTCCTTTCTAATCTGAATCATCTTATTTCGTATTTGCGCCCTACCCGCTCTCTCATCCATGGAAATACTGCTGATAAAATACGGATTTACGCTAATATTCATTAAGAAAAACACCCTCTGTTTATCATACTCGGCCCCTTTGATCTCCTCATTTTCTAAGATCACCCATCTAGCCGAGTATCATTCGTGATTTTGAACACTTTAGGATATTATAATCAAGGTGAGCATAGAAACTAATAGTCTGAGTGAGCGCTCTATTCAATGAAATCAGTAATCAGGAAAGAGCTTCTCTTACATAGTTCGTATCTCAACCACAAGGTATCACTTCTTCACGATGTATCTAGTTCTGTAGAAATCTTAAAAAAAAAAAGACCTGCCAACTGGCTTTGTTTCCCCCGAATTGGAAAATGTTGAAAATTCTGAAGTTTTTATGGCAGAAGTGCTTGATACTGCAAAATTTACAGCTTTCTTCCATTTTCTTTTGAAAAGTCGCTCCTTCTTCCGCAGTTGTTATATTGTGCAATGTGCTTAACTTCTCCAGGAGCGTTTTTCTAAATTTGAAAACGGGCTGAGCCCACAGTTTCGTTTTAGTATATTCGAAATTAGTAATTTCTCTCTTCTAAGCAATTTTTGGCAAAATAATTATAAGTGAAAATATGAACCAGTAAATGTGTCTCCCTTATCATCTTCCTAAGGACAACTAATTGCAAATGGTAGCTGTAAACATTAGCGTTTGCTCGCACTTACCAGCCCAATCTTGTGGTCTATAATCTAATGAGCAACTCTTTCATTTTTTGAACTTTGCAAGCTTGATTCTAGAATTTTCTCGACTTTTTACGTCCGTTTATCTTTGTATGGATATTCGGAATAGGTCTACAGTGAAAGAAAATAGCAATCTCGATGCTTCAATCAGGAAATAATCATGCAGTCTGCTCTGCAATTCTGCTTGCGGTTTCGAAACAGTAAATTTGGCAATGATGTCAGTGCTTCCTTTCACCAAGTCTACAGTAACTTCACTATGAAATGTGTGCAACATCTATCGGGCGCTGCTCTTCTTCCTCTTTTTCCTCGTCAGGGGCTTAGTGCGTTACAGTTTTTTTTCCTCGCACACCACAAAGACGACATTCTCAGCAAGTTTTCCTTCGTTGAGGTAAACTAGCAGCAGCACTGCTGCTGCTTCAGTTTTTAGGTTTTCTAAAGCGAAAGCCTCCGGTTTGCTTGGAAGATACGCACACAGAAAGAGGAAGAAAGAGACAGCACGATAGAGATAGTGCGATGTTCTGTAGAGATATTCTTAGCTGCGGCGTTGATTTGAAATCATTTGGACTTCTTCTTCCCCTTGCTCTTCTTCTGGTTCTGTTAGGTCACGGTATCAGCGCCGGTGGTAGGCGTATGGTTCGCTTTGAAATTCCTGCTGCTTCTAAGAAAAGCTTACTTTCGAACCGAAATCGATACTCAGCTTTTACACTAAATTATAATCTCGTAGTATTGCAAAATCTGATACGTATTACCCGCGGATAAGCAGGTAAAGCTACCTATGTGGGTAAACTCACCAGAAATCGGCTTAACCTAGGATTACTCTAGGTAACGCGCTAAGAGCCTGATCTTTGCGGAACTTTCTGCTCTGTATAAATGAGCAGCCAAACTGCAACCGAAAAAACTAACTGTGATAAGAGATATAGACCTCAGAAAGCAATCAAATTGAGCTGTTTCGTCAGCAGCTGATAAAAATTATCTTGAAGTCGGTTGTGGTTTAGAGCAGATTTGAGTTGTTTTTTAGGCACCCAAACACTGTAGGGATTCTTTTGGAAACTTTGATAGAGGAGACTGCTAATTAATGTTACTTACCTAACCACCCATATCTCAAGAAAACTATTATCTTTTCAGTCGATGCCGTACATCCCGTCCGTATCGTCTGCAGCTGCGGCCAACATGTCATCGGTGGCAAATATGACAGCAGCGTATTTCAACACAAAAGGTGCAGCCTATGGAACTCCACATCTGGGCTTCCCAACAGCTCCCACTCATAACTTTCTCCCAACTGGTATGGGATACATTGGTGGGAGCCTGGCCGAATGCCAACCAGCAGGACTTGCATGGAACGCTGGCGCTCCGCCCAGGTATGGAAGGCACGTTTAGTAGCTTAGTTCATAAAATGCATCAATGTATAACTAATACAAGTTAATTTCCTGGTAGAAGAACTGAGGGAAGGATACTTGGTGACCGTGGTCTTCTGAAATGAAACGTACATTATTAAATGCATCTTGAGGCGCTGATTCCAGATCTGCTTTCGGTATCTGCTGTGCGCTCTTCCGAAAGAAGTTATGAACATTTCTTGCCACCAAAATTTGCATTGTTTTTGATGACAGAAATCACCAACATTGTCAGAATATTCATTACGCACTATAAAAAAGCGCCCAAGTAAAATAAAGCTCTATATTAAACTTAGAAAAACTGTCTCCGTTATATCAGAGTCTAAAAAGCCCGAATACTGATGATTCCGAATGCTTAGATCTCGTGAAAATAATATGGAAAAAAGTCCATAACTTCACTTGATGAGTCGCACAGCAAATAACGAACACAGATTCAAAATAAGCGTTTTAAGGCGCATCTACTGGTGTATATCCCACTGCAAAAGGCCACGGTCACCAAGTATCCTTTCCTTGTGAGAAAAATCTGATTGGAATGTTAGGGGCACTAGAAGTAGACAGCTACAGCGAGAAAGTGATTTATGGCTGATAAGAGAGCTTACAAAAAGTAGTTGTGTTGTTTTAGCCGTTGTGATTAGCAGAAGTATTACTTCTGTCACTTTTATCACCTTATCACTAGTTACTTGCACCTATAACATTACTGTAAGATGGCTGCTTGATTAAAAGTAAGAAAAAAGAATCCTTCTTGGTTTAGTGATTCTCTGTAGCATATTTGGAGTTGTGAGTAGCTTTAGGGTATATGGTAGAAATTTAATTTCCTACTCCGTAATGGAAATGCAGGAGAAAGTTGGCAACTATGCAGTAATATCCACTCCCAATCAACAAATCTTCTGCTTTTTTTTGAAACTCAGACGAGCTACAGTAATGTTACAGTAAACCATCTCTACCGATACAGCCTGCAGCCTGAGAAATTGAAGCGATTAGCCTAAATACATTTCGCTTTGCAAATCAAGATGCTAGAATTTTTCAACAAAATTTTGATAACTTCTAAGAATTTGATAAAAAAAAATGAGTTGAAACGATAAAAAATGCATGAGCCGTAGAGGACTTAAGAGCGTTACAAGAAAAATGTGAAAATATTTATGATTGTAAAACGTCAAGATTCATTGTCAGAAATTGTAGCAAAGCACATCTCTAAAACCAGATAGGAAAGAAAATCCGTATCTACAGTATCATTTGTAGGAAACAACGTCGCGAACGTACGACGTTTACTCGAAGCCAGTTGGAGATTCTGGAACATGCGTTTCTGAAGACTAGATACCCGGACATCTTCATGCGAGAGGACATGGCACTGAAAATTCAACTGCCAGAAAGCCGAGTTCAGGTTCGAACACTTGCTGTTCAGCATCTATCTAGAAAAAGTGAGCCAGCGAAAGCAAAAAGTATCGCGCGCACGTGCGATACACACAGAGACACACACAGACTGCATAGATCGACGAACTCGTTTCTCTACCGTAATCCGTCCGTGACAGAATTTCAAATCTAACTCAAACCATAAAAAATGCGGCTACTTTCGCTTGACTATCTTCGGTACTAAATTTCCATTTTCGTTCTATCAACCCTGGTAAACTCCATATACCACCGAAGCGGGCACCTGTCGCGCGCACGTGCGATACACACAGAGACACACAGAGACTGCATAGATCGACGAACTCGTTTCTCTACCGTAATCCGTGCGCTGCGCGCACCGATGCGGACGACCAAACAAAAATCGCTTAACGACCATATCGATTCGTCAAAACGGGAGTGTACGAATACAAGAGTGATGGTGTTTCACGGGGGCAATGTGGTAGTTGACTGTCGTCGGGGGTGAACTGGATTGATGGCTAAGGCTAACTATGACCAAAAATACATTTATTAATGAGGGAAGATGAATAATAGAAATTTTGAAGCACATTTAGACAAGTTCGCAAAGAGTTCTAAAAAGTCACTTTGATTTTTTTTGTAAGAGAAGTGAAAGAACTCTCAAAAAACATGCACTTTCCTCGCCAGCAATCTTGGATAAAAGCTGATGCATTGGGTGCAATGGCACATATTAGTTTGGAAATCCCGGCTACAGTTAGTATCAAACATAGACCCTGTCCCTCGGAGCAATCGCAACGCCAAAGGTTCGCGCCACGTGTGGCAGGGTATACAAATCTGCGCCATGGGTGGAGGTTGCACGCAACGCTTGCGTTGCGGATGCATAGTTGCTGCGCAAAAAGAATACCCAATTGATACAGACTGTAGGTGGCTTACTTACGATTACTAAAAACGCAAATCTCAAAACCCTTCATTTGAGTGTGAAAAATCAAAATTTTTTTAAGGTGTGGTTTAAAAATCGACGTGCAAAGGCTCGCCAGCAGAAGAAATCGCAACAGAACAGCTCTGCCGGCAGCACCGGTTCGTCTTCAACGGAAGGCACCAATTCCACTGCCGACGCTGATGTAAATGTCAGTAATCAAATGCAATGAAATTTTTCTCTTCGCATGCGTCCACTCCAATGATCGATCGATTGCAGATCAAATCCGAAGAACCTGGTGAGACAACGTTGAGCGAACATTCGCAGAGTCCTTGTCCCGATGATAAGACGGCGTCAAGCACGAGCTATTTGAGCACCGCCGCTTCGCCAAATAACTATGCCGCCACTTCGTTTCGACCGCAGGCACAATATAGTTATGGTAAGCAGCAACTTTTCTATCGGTCGCCTGGAAAATGCTACTGTAGCCTGGCTCCATGGATGAGGGCGAGACGTAATTTCTCTGTTTAGCAAGCTACCAAAGTCCAATGGACTACTTCCAATATACGCAACCATCATCAGCAACTACTACAAATCCGTATGGGATGGAATCGTGGAAATTTCAACCAATGGGCTAAATTAAACGAGATTCTTGATGTTTTATGACTGTGGGCAAGATTCAGTGAGCGTGGATATGCATTTGCGCACACGTGTGGCACGTGCAGACGAGTGCGAAGCGCTACAAAAATTTCGTTGTCTGCGTTTCTCCGTCTAAACGCTCTCGCTCGTGTTTCTCCCTCTTCGTGCATCCTTTCACCACGTATACTATTTTAATTACCATTATTGTCAATGTAAGGATTACCACTGAGAAGTTTGGATAAGGTAGTTAGTTATTGACTCAGTATAATATACAAACAACCCGTGACCTATACGCAAATGTGATTTGGTTTTATATGTTGTAATTTGTGATCTTTCTTTGCTGTAATCGTCTTTTGATGTAATTTGGTAGTGTGGATAGCTTCTATCATACATCGTTTGTACTTATAGACAAGTTCTTGATCTCCATGGCTACCAAATCGCATCCTTACTCTTTATTGATACTGTTGCATAAGGCTATATACAGTCACTATAACTCAACTAAGGTGAATCTGTCATTACGCAAGTTATATAGAGATTACCATCATTATTTAAATCATTTGATTCCTTGAGTTTTTCCATCTGAGGCTTGAATAAATAAGAAACTTATTGAAAACTACGTGAAAGCTTTACGGCAATCACTCACCAAGCATTGATTAGGTCTACATATATTGGTGGGCTAATTCCTGTTGTGTATACTGTTCTGATTTTGAAGAAATTTACTGCAGCTTTATATTTGCTTTTATTGTTGGTATGTAGACATTTATTGGTGTAGAATAAAAGTGATTGTAAAAGTTAAACACTTTGATATACTTCGGGGTAAACAGTTGAACTCAAAGGCAGTGTCCAGATAAGATCGGAGGTACGAATTTTATTACTTACTTAGATACTTAGATAGCCCGTCCTCACGTGACGTGCGGGCCCCAGTACAGAAGGTGCCATTGATCCCTGTCCCTCGTTTCGGACATCCACGATCTTCTTGGTCGTCGTCGGTGGCTGCGTCCACGAGTTCCAGGGGCGAGAATCGTATCCAGCTGATTTCTCAGCTGGTCCATCCGTTTCACGAACACGTCTGCCCATCTCGTCGGTGGTCTTCCTCGAAGACGTTTGGCTTTGCGAGGAATCCACTCAGATGTTCTTAGTGTCCATCTATCGTCCGTCCCTCTCATTATGTGACCGGCCCATCGGTGTTTCGCTTTCGCAACGTATTCCGCTGGGTCACGAAGACGGGACATTCTTCTCATATCCGTGCTGCGAAGTCCGACTAGATTTTGCTTGTGTCGGGTACGCTCTGTGGGTGGTCCTTAAAGCTTTCGACGTGGCTACGGTGTCGGCCCAAGTCTCAGCTGCGTAGCAGAGCGCTGGGAGAACGGTTGAGTCGAACAGGTGGGCACGAAGCTCCGGGTCCGTCAGTTGGTCGGTGGCTTCCTTCAGAGGCCCGAAGGCGGCCCAGGCTGCTCTTCTTCTCCTGTTAAGTTCTTCCCTCAAGTCGTTCTCCATGTTCATCGAACGTCCGAGATACACGTAAGAAGACGTCTCCATGATAGGGGTGCCTTCCAATTCCATTTCTGCATCTTCGCAAAGGGCGTTCTTCATGAACTGAGTCTTCTTCCGATTTATTCGCAGTCCGATCTTCTTCCCTACTTCGTTTAGTTCCTTCAGCATCGCCTCTGCTTCAGTGATACTGCTCGAGAAAAGGACGATGTCATCCGCAAAACGAAGGTTGGATAGGAATCTCCCATCAACTCGTATTCCTCTCTCTTCCCAGTCTAGTGACTTCATCACCCACTGCAAGGCCGCGGTGAACAGCTTCGGCGAAATAGTGTCGCCTTGTCGAACCCCCTTCCCAATTGGAATGGTTAGGGGGCGATGGAATAGCTGCATCGTTGTTGTACAGTCCTTGTAGCAGTCGGCTAGTGTCCTCACGTAAGCTGGTTCCACTCCTTGATCGACTAGCGTAGACAGGATGGCGTTGGTTTCGACGCTGTCAAAGGCTTTCTCGTAGTCGACGAAGGTTAGGACGAGAGGCAGTCGGTACTCCCGGCAGACTTCTATGACCCTCGAAACCGTCTGGATGTGGTCCATGCAGCTGAATCCTTTGCGAAATCCAGCTTGTTCTTGGGGTTGGGCTTCATCCAGTATCCTAGATATGCCTGCGAGGATAATCTTCGTGAAGAGCTTGTACAGCACACTCAGCAGGCATATTGGACGGTAATTTCGAAGATCTTCCCGTTCACCCTTCTTAAAAAGAAGGACGGTTCTTGACGTTCTCCACTGGTCGGGAATCCTCTCCTTCTGAAGGTAAGATGTCAGGTGCGACGCGAGAATCTCGTGTAGACGTTGTCCTCCGGCTCGCAGAAATTCGACGGAAAGATGGTCTGGTCCTGGAGCCGTGGATGTCTTCATGGTCTGAATCGCCGTGCGCACTTCAGCAGATAGAATTCGTGGTAGTACTTCTCCAGTGGGAACAACGGGCATCGGCACGGGTGTTGACGAGCGGAAGAGGTTGGTATAGAAGTTCTTCGCGATAGATTCCATCTTGTATCGGGAAGAAGTCGGAGTCCCGTCTTCGTTCAATAGTGCAGCTAGCGGTACGTGATATTCACAAAGGTCCCTTCGGCATTTCTTAAGACTTCGTCTTCCTTCGGCTGCTTCCAGTATCTTGGCTTGCCTGTACTTCCTGAGATCCTTCTGCATAGCTGTTCTGCAACTGGCGTTGGCTATCAGTCGCTCGAGATGGGTTGCATTCGGATCCTGCCTCAGAAATCTTCTTCTTTCGAGCAATTCCTTGGTGGACTTCGAAATACGTTCCAAGTTCTTCTCAGAAGTCACTGAGGCACATTCTTCGCAGGCTCGCAATCCTTTAAGAAGCCGGTCGTAGTCGTACGTCGGGTCCTCCTCGATGGGCCAGTCACATCTTGATATGAGCTCCTCCAGCCGGTTCCCGTCATAAACGACTTCCTTTTTTCTCGCGACACTGTGGCAGACTTTGTTTTCCAGCCTTCGGCTGAGTCGTATCTTCGCTCGAAGGAGGCGGTGATCGGAGCCACTGCGAAAGGAAGGAACTACTGAGACATCGAGCAAGCTCCACCTTCGGTTAGTGAGAATGTGATCGATCTCCGCGTGAGTCGTTCCGTTGGGCGAATCCCATGTCCACCGGCAATGTTCTTTCTTCATGAAGATGGAATTTCCATGGAAGAGTCGTTCGGCGGAGAGAAGCCCAGCGAGACGGTTGCCGTTTTCGTTCCGGAGCCCATATCCAAACTTCCCGATCCTATATTCCTTTTCTAGTGGCATCCCGATTTTCGCATTGAAGTCGCCCACAACATACTTGTAGAAGGACTTTTCGTTGCGGACGACCTCCTCCACGTCTTCGTAGAAAGCATCTAGTTCTGAGTCGTCAGCTGCTGATGTTGGAGAGTAGCAGTTGATGATGCTGATGGTCTTCTGACGTGGAGGGCGTAGTCGTAGGATGGCTAGCCGGGGTGATAGGATCTCGTGCGAATCGACAAGATGGACGATAGATGGGTGGACGACAAAGCCAACGCCTCCCACGTTTCGTGATGGAACCTTCTCACCACGAATGATGAGCGTCCCATCATTCATCTGTCGCACGTCCTTCCTGGACTTCGTTTCCTGCAGAGCGATGATGTGGTACTTGATGTGCTCTGCAGCGTCGAGAAGAGCGTGGAGGTCGGCGTTTGTGGAGACTGTCCTGGCGTTGTAGGTGCAGAGCATGAGGCAGTCTCCGTGGCGTGTCATCTGGGCAGGCGTGTCGTTTTTGTCCAATCCAAAAGGCGCCCTGAGGACCCTGACATCAGTCTTGCTACCACCCGGCGCCGTAGGCGGGATCCGATGTGCAGGGTTTCTCTCTATTCTTCTAACTGGTAGAGTAATGAAATTTTTCCCCTACGAGAGCAGACTTACTAGGCCAACTCTTGATTTCCACGGGGCGATCGCTGACCCCGGGCTTGGAGCGGGGAGAACCGCCTAGCGACCTGAAAACCAGACGGCGGTGGATCTGGGCATTTTATTACAATTTGAAAAATAGTGAACTTTATGGATCATCGCCAGCTACATCTGTACCTTGATAGAGGCTGAGATTTACAAAATGAAAACAAATCTGACGTATACATCAGAAGAGAAACGGCGAAAGTGCGCTCCCTTGTGACTCCACTCTGACAAGATTGTCTTCTATGTGGCTTAATCCTACTTCAACAGTCATGTATCTGTCACCCATTAAGACTTCAGCCAGGCGAACACATTCTCAGTTGACCCAAGATTTTCGAGCTCAACCAACTCTCCCTTCTTTATATACGCTACGCTGCAGCAGAGGTGGAGAGAAAAGATTGTTCTTATCAAACATGTTTTTTGTGACTTGGATAAGCCAGAGTAGTGCTTTATTTAGATTTTTCTTGCTGATCTTGTTGAACACAGTTTTGCAACAGGTGGCTATTTTCTTATTTTTTGAAATTTTTATAGCCTTAGCCCCTATCCCATTTCATAATCAAAGGGGACTTTGGAATAACTGTGCTATCTCATATAGGACTTCGTTTTCCAAACTGCTCGAACCCTATACAGCTACACACTGCCTAGGGGTGGCAGCATGAAACGATTATTAGGGCCGCATGCATGGACGTCCTGATCGGGGAGGGGAAAGCAATTTGATAGAAAGTCAGCGTTAACTTGGCATAAAAGCCGCAGTGACTTCTATTGGTTAGCACTAGGGCAACTGAGACGCTCAGCACCATAAAAAGTCCTTGTAAAGAGGACCGTCAACGAAGTGATTCTCGGTAAACTAGAACAGAACTAAGGTGTTTAGAATCAAGTTTCGCAAAAACCCACCTCGTGAATCCGTTTTAGAGTGGAGCAGCTCAGAATGAGCAGTGTTAAAAGAAACTCTGTTTGAAGGCAAGCACCAACATAATAATTTGAACAGAAACTGAAGGATATCTATACGAAGTTAGACACTGGTAGAACTCGTAAATCACTTGCAAGGTGCAGAACTGAGTTTGATGCTCACAGGAAAGTTTGTTCTTCAGCACCGAGAACTTTGTGTTATATTCAGCAGCAGAACGATACCCTATAACTTGTTTATAAAAATAAAGCTGAGCCTCGACGATAATGTGATTGCTCCCCGCAACAGTATACCGTTGCCCAGCACCAAAGCACCAGCAGCCGTTGCTCAGGCAAAGCAGCAGTGTAACGTTGCTCAGCACCAAATCAACATTATACCGTTGCTCAGCATCGAAGCAACAGTATACCGTTGCCCTAGAACTAAAACAGCAGCAGCATACCGTTGCTCAGTCAAAGCAGCAGTATAACGTTGCTCAGCACCAAAGCAACATTATACCGTTGCCCAGCACCAAATCAGCAGTATACCGTTGCTCGGCATCGAACCAACAGCATACCGTTGCTCAGCACCAAAGCAACATTATACCGTTGCCCAGCCAAAGCAGCAGTATAACGTTGTTGAGCACCAAAGCAGCAGTATACCGTTGTTCAGCACCAAAGCAACATTATACCGTTGCCCAGCACTAAATCAGCAGTATACCGTTGCTCGGCATCGAAGCAACAGCATACCGTTGCCCAGCCAAAGCAGCAGTATAACGTTGCTCAGCACCAAAGCAACAGTATACCGTTGCTCAGCACCAAAGCAAAGAGTATACCATTGCACAATTTCGAAGCAAGTATGCTGCTTGCTGCCGCTCAGGCAGCGGATAGGACCCCTCCGCCGGAGAAATGGCAGGGTCGCGGCGTTTCCCCAGCGGTGGGTCTCCCATTTGTCCGGCGGAGCCCTCCCATTTGCCCGGCGGAGCCCTCCCATTTCTCCGGCGGATACCTCCCATTTTCTGCTCCGGATACCTCCCATTTTCTGCTCCGGAGACCCCCCATTTTCTGCTCCGGAGACCCCCCATTTTCTGCTCCGCAAGTCTGCCGCGGCTTACTGTAATTAGCCCTAATTAAAGGCAGCTTCCAGGCAGATCTGGACCTATGGGGCTTTTACATGGAAAGTACTTTTGGGGCCCTAACTAAGGCACTGCCGAAGCAGCAGTTCAGGTAGTGCTCTAATGGCGGAGATATTCCCCTCGAAATAGACCCCCCGCGAACGTATTCGCATGGATTCATGGCAGTTTCGCGCCAGGATCCACGCTTTGCGCCATGAATCCATGCGAAACACGGTCGCGGGGTCCGGTTTCGAGCAGAATATCTCAGGCGTTAGAGCACTACTTGAGCTGCCGGTTGGGTAGTGGCTTAGTTAGGGCCCCAAAAGTACTTTCCATGTAAAATCCCCATAGGTCCAAACTTGCCTGGACGCTGCCTTTAAGCTCCAAACCCCAATTTTGTCTCTAAACCCCACCCAAATAAGCCGAATAGGACCCCCTCCCCCCCGGGTAGGAGTTTAGCGCGACCCTCACCCCGTACTCTACCCCCTCCCTCTCACCCCTAGCGTTTGTGGATAGAAGATAGAAGAAAGAACGAAGAGATAAGACATTTATTTCAAAATTTTCAAACTTCTTCGAAAAATCATCTTATATCGTAAATCATTTCACACCCACTGGTGTAAAAGAATGAACCTTTCCAACCAAACAACAGATACTCTCTTGCTGTTTCCCTGAATGTGATGTCACCCGTGAGCAAAAGCATATAAGAAGCTACAAAGTCGTTGAGGAATATACATTTAGATGCTTTAGATGTAAAAGTGGTTGAGCGAGTATGCCTCCTTAGGATGTAGAGAGTCACCAGCGCAGATGTCCTTGATCTGTTGCACCCAAATACGTAGCTCCGGTACGGTCAGTTTCATTAACCCTGCGGGGTAGCTGAAATCAAATTCGTCGAACTGCAAAGTTGTAGCGAGGAGTATGTACGATCACAAAGGATACACCACGGTAAAGAAGATGGGCAATGATAGAATTAGTAGCAGACAGAGACGTAATGAAATAATTAGAACTGACAAAGCAAAAATTAAAAACATGCACAGAGTGCTTACCTGAGTACGATTCAGCATATGCACTGATTCGCAGAATCTGAAGGGTCCTAGCTGGTAGCTGTGATGGTACAGCAGCATCTCCTAAGCCATTCATTCATAAATTTGAAAGTTCGTTATATCGGACTATTTGCGGCTAGAACTGCTGCGCCAATGGTTTTTTCTGAGCGATGATGGCACAAAATGGTGGGAGCAAAAGAAGAAATGACTTTGTCAACAACGTACCGTTGACGGGAACTCCCATCTGCCGATCGGCTGGTGATACCATTCAGGAACATTTTGTCTACCACGACGGGGACCTGGCTGCTGATCTTCAATCGAGTCTTGGCGTTCCGAATGCTCCCGATTGACAGTACACACCTGCTTCGTAGGCTGCTCCTTCACCTGCTCGACTGGCAATGGGTCCGACTTCACAAATTCTTGCTGTAAGTACCGCCTGCAGCACTGTTGTGCATGTTTGCGGTGGTTCGTGATGGCTTGAGGTTGACGCTGCCATTCGCATAATGTACTCGTTCAATGTTATCAACTGTTGCTGGCGAGTGATGTCTTCCGAGCCGACAGGATACTCGTTTGGTTCACGATTTATATGTTCAAGATTCAGACATGTCTTGCGAACAGATTCCATCCATCGTGAAAATTGCATAATGTGACTTGAAACTGATGGCAATACCTTGCTCAGTTCATCTCCTAGCGCTTGCAATTCTGCAAGAAATAAAAGGTAAAAATAAGATTTGAGCAAGAGATACCTACCCTTGCATAATTTGTCCGCTTTGATGTCAGATGATCGCAACAGATAAGACCCGCTCAGTACGCTGCATGTAATATAAGGGGATATTCCAAGCAGCACCATACGTCACGAGCATAGCTGGAAACAGTCTATCCAGCTGAACATAAGAGACTATTTGTGCACTCACATTTCGGAATGCTACTTCATCACGGATTTTGTTTATGATATTCATCAGTTCTTCTTGATATTCTTTTCTCTCGCATCACCCTCAGCAACACTTGCACTATCGCCAGTCTCCACATCCTAAGAAACGCCGATGATGCCCGAAACATAAAGCACATATTCATTTAGAAAAAAACTTGCATGGCTTGTAGCTTATTCAGCGTCTCGTCTACAGCCTCCATAGGGTTGTTTCATGCTGCAGTCGCTGCTGCAACTGCAGTCAGATTGGGGCGGGCAAAAGATATAGATCGGTCGACGTTCAGCGCTGCAGCGACTGCAGTATGAAACAACCCATAAAAGACGCTTTTGTATCCCTGGAAAACCATTATTTCATCAATAGGAGAGACCTAAACCATCAAACATCATGGTAACTTATGGTAAACAAGGTGATAACGCACCTCTACATCAGACTCATGAACAACAACGGGCTTCATCGAAGCTGCTCCACAAATTTACAGTCTATAGGTACTTTGGAAAACGATGCCACCATCATGCTTCTACAACTGTGAAAGTTCACAAAATGCCGTAAATTAACCAAACAAGGCTTACCTTTTCAAACCCTCCGCAGCCGTTCAATCCAGCCAGAAAAGTCATTATTAGGACCAGAAAGGGTAGGACTGGCAGGATACGAATACCATCAAGATCCCTTCCAATCGGTCTCTCGCATCCTTGAGAGGCAGTAAGCACCATGATGCATTATGTGAATTTGGCGAAAGGTAGTTATTTTGGGTGATCCACTCTGCGCGATTGCGAATTGTGTGGGCGACATGACATCTACAATGGGAAATATATAAAATAGATGTAAAGTCACAGGCGATGCTTCAAGAAGTCCAATGCTTAGTGCTAAGCTTGATCATGTACTATTCATACACCAAAAAATGTTACGAACTTGAAATACTTGAAACTTGAAATAGTCACTCACTGCTAACGCAGGTGTCTCACGTTATCTACTATGCTTTTTTCCTCTTGTCTAGCGGGAATTGCAACATAATGAAAGTGAATAAGCGGAGATACTACTAAAAACAATATAAATAATACAAAGGACGCTCCTGCAATCAAAGAAAGTAAGATGGTTTCCACTGCTCCGGGGCCACTTACCAGTCCATCTGTTGAGAAAGGACCTTCTTTTTGCCATGTACCTGTAATATCGTGGCCAAGTTTTCAAGTATTGAAAAAAACTTAAACTACAAAATTCTTCAGGGTTCGATCAACCATCATCGCTGTTACCGCTGCTACTGATGTTAGACGATGGAATGATCAACATTACATTACATTATTATTCTTATTTCTCCAAATGAGTACTCAGCGACTGGTGAGGACAGCGTATAACAGTAGGAACAGCGTTAGGCCCGAGTTCACGCGATTTCATCGTCGCGAATGATCCCGACAAAACAACTAACATATGCATGCCGATCTTCTTGCATTTCAGTTGTGATAGTTTTCCAACACGACTAATCGTGAACAACTATCACAACCGAAAATACGAGAAGATCGGCATGCAATGAACGGCAAAGTGATTCATCGGTGGAGATAGCAATAAACGGATTATTTAGACGATACTTTCATCACAACAACACTAGATAGTTGCGCAACTAACCTCATTGTTTCGAAAATCCAGAATTAATCACAAAAACCACTCCATCAATAGTCTACGATGTCTCAGCAAGTCGGAAAGATCCAAACACTGAAGGTGATTGAGTGCAACCGCACGAAAATTTGAAACATAAACCTGAAAACGAGGAACTTACAACAACATAAACGCCAACGCGACGAAGAGCAACGCGGAAAAGAAAAAAAAACGGTAAAGAAACGCGCAAAAACAACAAAATCAAAGAAACGGCGACTAAAATATGGACAAAGAGCGTAAACAGAGGACTCACCACCGTGGAGTTAGACGTTTGCTTGCTACGCGCCAAATCGATACGCAGCCTGCTCCGGATACCTCCCATTTTCTGCTCCGGATACCTCCCATTTCTCCGGCGGATACCTCCCATTTTCTGCTCCGGATACCTCCCATTTTCTGCTCCGGATACCTCCCATTTTCTGCTCCGGAGGCCTCCCATTTCTGCTCCGGACCCCTCCCATTTTCTCCGGCGCGGCTCTTCCAAATTTGGCGGACACGCGCCGCGCAAATTTTCCGCGGCGCGGAGTCCGCCAAATCTGGCAGAGTCGCGCCGGAGAAATGGCGGACCTTTGCAGCAGGGCCGGAGAAGCCTCCCATTTGCCTGCCAGTGATGCACCGCGATGGACCGCCCATTTGCCCCTCTCTCATTGGTCAACTGGGTCCGGCGCGACTCTGGCAGTTTCGGAGGGTCCGGCGGAGGGGTCCCGTCGATTGTTTGAGCGTGTACATCCAACGCAGCAGTATACCTCTGCTCAGCTCCGCCAAAGCAACACCAAATCTTTTTGTTCTACACGCACCAAGGCGAGGGTGAGTAATATGAGCAGTTCAAAAGTAGTAGTAACTCAGCACCAAAGCAACACTGAGCGGCTCAGCGCTGAAAACTTTCTGTGGCGCTGACCCTCAACAGAGCAATCCTTGGCGAAGCAGAACTAGAGCAAGTATACCTACACTTTTCCATAGCAAAGCTCTTCTATCTAAACTTCAGTAGAGAGTTGTGGGCGTTGTTGCAGCATCAAGCAACTCGGAATGCCCTTACCCAGCACGGGAGCCACACTAAGTATTTCTGCGCATCACCAAAGCAACAAACAAACTATACTGCACGTACCGAAGCAGCAGCGCTACTGTTGCTGAGCACCAAACAACGATAAGTGTCGTTGCTCAGTACCACCAAATCTTCGTGTAAAGTCGAACAGTCACAAAGGAGATCTTAGCAACGTTAAGCTAGTACGTTGCTAAAATGCACCAGAAGAGCTAGTGAATGTATAATACCGTGCAATAGAGCAGCGCGAGGATTGCTGCTTTGCTACCAAAATTTGAAATTCACCTAAGCACAACTAAAGTATTCCTAAAGGAATAACGCGCCAAGAGAACCTGTGGCTATGGGGTGCTACTGCACAGAACCAAGCGAAAGTATTGCGGCATAAAAGAAACACTTGGAAATGAGTATTTTTGAATAACACCCTACAACTCTGGGTGTGCTTGTTTAGCACCAAAGCGACCCTAAGAAATGAAACTAACGTGCGTTTCATAACTATACGACACCTCCCCAAAATTTGAATTTCCGGATTTACAGAAGTGAGTGTGTACTCCAGTCAGTGCCTGTGTGATCTACGTATGATACCGAATAAAATGACATTTCAATCAATATGTCAACTCTCTTGCTTTTCTACAGGTAAAGACATGTCTATCTTTCCCTGCTTCATAACTATACGACACTTTTGAGCAAGGTACTTTCTCCGAGGAAAAGAAAACGCAAAAAAGAGTTTTTATGACTAATAAGGCCAAGAGACCTTTCTACCACTCCATCAAGTCTATTAGAGATGCTTCTAACAAATTCATGCATGTCTTCGGTCCAATGTTGTCACATGCGCCCATAACGAACTGCTCCAACTTTTTCAATGTTTCGTACTGTTGGTATCTGCTCAGAAACGCGGAGCAATTAATCATCAGAGATTTTTTTGAAGAAATTAAGACAAGGCAGTGTGGTCACCCTTACAGAAGCTGCTCGCAATGCTGGCGGAGAGCGGCGGTAAGTGACCCGCGTGCATGTCCAGTACGTTGTGCTGCTTCGAAACGTAGTGCTGCCACTGACGCTTTGTTAAGAAGATGACAGAAAGAATGAGTCGATGATTTGGTGGTGAAATCTAATCAAAAAGGTTCAGTTTGGGCGACTGTGACGGCAAGAGGACCGACTGGCTGGATGTAAGCAAAGTCCACTTCATTTTAGCTAGGGAAACTCTGGCGGGGATTACTTTATTAACTGGGAGCATTTTGCGTGGTTCAAAAGCCTAAATTCATATGGGAAAATTTGCATGCAGATTGCCAAGAAGTATTGAAAATACAACAACTGTTCTCTTTCTACAAGCTCCGGTGACAGCACTACATTTCGAAGCAGCATAACGCACTGAACATGCACGCGGGTCACTTACCGCCGCTCTCCGCCAGCATTGCGAACAGCTTCTTTGAGGATGACCACACTGCCTTGTCTTAATTTCTTCAAAAAATCTCTCATGATTACTTGCTCCGCGTTTCTGAGCAGATACCAACAGTACGAAACATTGAAAAAGTTGGAGTAGTTCGTTATGGGCGCATGTGACAACATTGGACCGAAGACATGCTTGAATTTGTTAGAAGCATCTCTAATAGACTTGATGGAGTGGTAGAAAGGTCTTTTGGCCTTATTAGTCATAAAAATCTTTTTTGCGTTTTCTTTTCCTCGGAGAAAGTACCTTGCTCAAAGGTGTCGTATAGTTATGAAACAGGGAAAGATAGACATGTCTTTACCTGTAGAAAAGCAAGAGAGTTGACATATTGATTGAAATGTCATTTTATTCGGTATCATACGTAGATTACACAGGCACTGACTGGAGTACACACTCACTTCTGTAAATCCGGAAATTCCAAATTTTAGGGGGTGTCGTATAGTTGTGAAACGCACTGTATAATACTTCCTCCTTATAATGCTGCGAAGCAGCACTACTTCAACCATAAGCAACAGAGCACCTAAATGACAGTGTGTCCCCCTCCCTCTCCCCCCCCCTCCCCAAAAAACGCGCTTTTCACAGTTTTAACTTCTCTGAACAGCTTTTGCAGACCCTTACCCAAGGAATGTAGTTTAGCCTTCAGCTCAAATTCACAGGAAGGAAGGAATCACTGATGTTTTTTCCATCACTGTAAATTACGGTACTTAATTCTATAGCAGTCCCTAAACATAGACCAACCCCGTTGGTCCGCTCCCTTAATACTGCTTACAGAAGCAGATAACGGACCGGATCCCCTTTGCGCCCCGCCCCTTTTTCGCGCTCCACCCACCGACGGTTTGCTCCAGACGTGTTCTGACATGACAAGGAACGTCGAGACGCATAGTTTGTGACGTGGCACTGTTGCAACGACGGGGTTTCCTGTAGCATATGACGTGATCAGCTCCGGGCTCGTCCACGTCTGCCAAATTAGGGCTTCAGAAAAGGGAATTTGAATTTTTTTGGTGATTTGAACTTCATAACCCGAATCAGAGCCATGGAAAGGGTCGATAACAATAAAAACATGGAAGACGAAATTTTGGGTGTACCTGCCTTTAACAAGAGTGTTGCCATTGAGAGCCAAAATCCTGAAATTCAAATACGAGAGTGCCAAATTTTGAAAGCAAACTTCAAAGTCAAATTCCAAAATGACTCCGAAAGAGTTGCAAACTGCATCTAAGTAGATTTCGATTGCTAAAAAAAGACCATCGCACTCAACCTTCATTCTTAGGTATATGGCAACACCATCGTGACCGTCGTCTCGATAATCACCGAGAATCTCATATCATCAAAATTGCCTAACAGGCCCATGAGATATTCGATGGAGCTTGCCTGAAACCTGCGCGAAGTTTCCAGGGTTTTGTAAGTTCCAAGATATGATAGCTCTTTTTCCGTACAGTCATTGTTCGGGAGTTCCTGCCGAGTCTACTACATTTTAGAAAATGATTTGTATTCTAAGCCTAAGGTCGAGTCCTGCCTTACACCTCATATACAAAGGACTGTAAAGAAGAGAGTTGCTCTTTAAGACTTTTTACGATACTATCTGCTTTGATATTTCCTCTTTATTCTGAA